GCCCAGGTCATCAAAGTGCGAGTTAATATCTGTCTCTTATACACATCTAGATGTGTATAAGAGATATATATATGACCAACAGTAGCTTAAATTTTTAATTTAAAAAAAGAAAAATGAAAAAAATATACTTAATTAGAGGCTAGGGAGTTGGGGTGGGGGGTGGACAAAGCACATTACTTACAGGGGTATAATTGACTCCCACCGTCACAACTACTGTTGAATTGAATTCGAGTAAGCTAGTTCCCTATCGACTGCTTTTCCAGAGCTTCTTTTCGAGGCTACTTTTGCAAACTAAAGAGAGGTTCTTCTCGAGATTAAGTGCATTGGTTTTTTTCGAGGTTTTACGGTGTAGTAGAGTTTGACTCTTGACTGGACTTTCAACCATTGTGTAAAAATAAAACTTTGCATAATATTGTTTCCCTATCGAACACAACAAATATTATTCTATGCAGCATTCCCATTTAAAACAAAAACACTTGAAATTGTTATCAATTAGAGTATATTGTACAGTTGTTTAACAAAATATATTTATATTAATTCTTTTATAATTTTATAAATTTAATGAGTTTATTTATAATCGCACGTTAATAGAACAGAATATGTAAATTATTAATTATAGTGAAAGAGCCTAAACATGGCAGCGCCCTGTGATCGTTTGTAGGTTCTTCCAAATAGTACATCCGTTGTGTATGTGAGAGACCGTCGTTTAAGATGTGTGAATAGCCATTGTTTATCAACAATATATCAGGTAATTTGGTGTAATTACCAATTAATAAACTAGTATAAAAACAAACAAACAGATAGGCCTAGTAGTATTATAGATGATAGGGCTAGGCTAGGCCTGTGCCTGTGACAGAAAGGGTGCTGTGTATTGTTTACAGGCAGGTTAAGAAGAAGAAGGTTTCTTCGAGCCTAGTCCTATCGCAGGCCTAGCAAAGGCTAAAACTAAAGACATTCCAGCCCCAGTTATTAGGCTAAAACTTCTTAGCAATCTATTGATTATTGTTGTGCAATCAACAAAACCAATTGCATGCTTGTTTTTTTTTCTTAATTCCTTAATATTAAATATTAGTCTAGCCGCAGATCCTATCTGTGGCCTAGCCATAGGCTAGGCCTAGGCTAGTATTCATCTGATGTTGAATGAAAACAAGATGTAAGTAGACCCAGGCCCTAGCCTCTAGGGGCTTAGGCCATAGATAGCAAGACAGATAGACTTAAAATAGTGACATTTGAGTTGATTAAATTATTTTCAATTCGATAATTTCATTTGTTGACTTTTGTTTATTTTTATTCTTTTGTTTTTGGCATTGGCTATTGTTACACCAGTTGGAAATCAATTCCTAATATTATTGGATGATTTATTGTCCTATTGTTATACCAGTCTGAAATTAATCTGTCATACAATAAAATCTGATAAATAAAGACTGATGTAACAATAGCCACTGCCTTTTCCTTATATTAACTTCAAAATAACAGTTGTTGTTTTGGGTGTTTGTGTTCTAGGCATGTAAACCTTACTTAATCAACTTACAGCCCAGGTCATCAAAGTGCGAGTTAATATTAAATTTTTGGCTGAGTAACTATCAATTGACAAGGATTGTCAAAAGTGAACTTAACAATGCTTTTAAAGAAACTCTATTTAAGGTTAACACAAAAATGATATATTACAGATAAATATGAATTGGTCATTTAATATAATAAACACTGTAATAAGATACAAAACTCAAGAGTAGAAGTAATAAATAAATATAATACAATAAAGTGATAAATTTGTATAAATATAAACAAGCAAAATTAATTAAAGTACTGTAAGTATTGTAAGTACATAAAATCATAAACTTAGATCTGATTTTTAAACTGATGAGTTCACCAGTGTATATCTCTTATGAAAATGAAAAATATTAACTGTAAGTAATGTCAATATGAGAGGTGGTGATTCACAGAAAACCAATGTACTTTGTATCAGGGGTTTAGCCACAAAAACGATATAGGTCATTCAAAATGGAAGCCAGTGGGCGTAGCACTGAGCTGGTGGGTGGGCCACACCCATCTTTGGGAATCCCCACCAAATATTGGTATGGAAACAATGTACATTCAATCAATAAATGTTGTCTTTATTAAACGTAAATATGATTTTGCTTTAGTTTAACACTCGATAGATTGAAGAATATAAAGAATTGCTAAAGGTAGACCAGGCCCAATTAGGCTATGCCGATCTGATTAGGCCAAGCTGTCACGGTAAAAGTGGCCATCCTAAATAATTGTAGGCCGTCTAAAAGACGGCCGGATGGCTCACTTGCTAAGCCTATGCTTTGTATATTATTCTTTTGAAAATGAATAATGGATAGTCCCTGGTGTAATATATTGAATGTTTATATAGGTTTTATGCTTAAAATGATAACGATACTAATTTTTCATATCATTTATTATTATTTTCAATATGATGATATCATCAGTGTAGTTGATATTCAATTTATTGATATAATTATTATTTATAAATCTTATAAGATGATCAGCCAATTTTGTTGTTATAATCTGTACAACAGTTGCTTTTGTGACATAAACCATTCAACTCCCTAGCTTGATGAAAAATGGACAGCACCATTTGTCGTTATTCCATGTGGAAAATTAACATATTTAATGATACGGTACACACACCCCCAGCCATATACTCACACATTCCCTGATGCACATCCCCCCATAGACATCAATAGTAGAACACAGGATGATGATGTAATGTGTTTTAATTAGCGACTAATAATGTTTGATATTAACTGCTTTATCATTGTTTTGATCACACCAAATGACAGGCAGGAAATGAGAATCAACTGCCTGCATCCGTTCTGTATTGGATTTGTTGACATATTCAGCAGGATCCTAACAATACACTCATTGCTGTTGGGAAGCAAACTGTTTTGTGCCATTTTCATTTTAAGATCTTTTTAAAATTTATTTATTTTCTAAGATCTCAATCAAACTTAATTACTAGTTATGTTGGCTCAGGGCTGCCTCACGCCCCCATTTCCTAAGTGTGAACAATCAATAAATTTTAAGCCGACCCAGAGGCGACATAAATTTAGTCCGACTTTAAAGTCAGCTCAGGCCCAGTTCCCGCAATGTGGGACCTGGACCAACTCATCTTTATATCTGAACGTAAACCGAACCTAGGTCGCCAAAGTCGCTTTAATAGTGTTCAATCTTGAGACCTTACTGTATACCATAACCTTTCATGCAAAAACCTGCCTTAAATTTTTCCATTTAAAAGTATGCATTGAATAGTTTTAAACTAAGATTACATAAAGTTAGTAAACCAGGTCATTTTTTTTTGTTACTGTAATTGAAGTTTAAATTTTTGAATAATTTTTATGAAAATTAAGTAATGTAAATCAAAATTAATATGATCATTCTTATTTTAAACGAAAAATTTGAAATCTTGAACAATAGCTCGAAGCCTTCAAGTTTGCCAACAGCCATCAGGAGTGTTGTTTGATATTAACAGGTGATAAGCATGATATGAATGAACACACTGTGCCACAAAAACAAGCAATGTTAAATCCAGCCCTTTCTACCCAAACTCAATTTGTGCACTGTTCATCGTGGATGGTTTTCAGTAGAAATTTCTGTCAAATTTCCTCGAAAAACCTGTTAAGTTTCTGGTTTCTAACGCGGTTCCCTTCTTTTTCGTTGCTGTAGATTTGGAGGCCATCAGGGTGGCAGAAATTTTGTAGAGGAAGTATGGCGTTCCTAGCGGAACAGGAAGGAGATCCAGCTTTAGAACTTACAGAAGAAAACATTGAAAAGGTAAATCATTTTGAAGCAATAATATTGATAATTCTTTATTATTATAATTATAATTTTCAAAATAAGATTGTTTTCATCTGCTTTATGCTTTAGATAATGTTTATTCTTTTTTTCTTGAAATGATGGTGTTCTTGCGATAATGGTTTTTAGATATTTTTTGATAATCACAATTGATAACTGGTGTGTAATAACAATTTTCTAATTAATATATTGAATTTTAGATATTTAAAAATTATTGCTTCTAATTGTGATTAGGATTTTAAAATTTTTTTGGTAAATAATAAATATATTTTTATGAATTCTGGTAAATAATAATAAATACCAATTGATATAATGAATTTGTAAAAATTGCCACTACTTGTGATTAGAATTTTTAAAAATATATTTTTGAAAATAATAATAATTGATAAACAGATAATATTTTTATATAATAATAAAAATTAATTTAAATTTTAATCAGTTGATTTTATGACTGTCATTGTAATTGTGCCGCTTTGTGTTTTTTTCCTTTTTTCTTTGATTATTTTGTGTCATCCAATCTGTTATACAATTGCAGTAAAATGAATTATAAATTATGAATTATTATGAATTAGTCCAGTGCAGTATGGCCCATGTGCAAATTTTAAGATGTTACCGTCACAAGCGATTGCAGTATCGTCAACGTGAAGAAAGTTAAAACTTATAAAAAGAAGATTTTTTTTATTATCATATTGAGCAACTCTTGCTTACTCTTTTCTCAAAATATTAAATTTATACATTATTATTTTTATTTTAAAAATATCTTACATTATTTTAATTGTTTATTGATGAGAAATCGTAGAAATAGATACATTTCACGTGATTTCTATACACACTTTCAGGCTTTGCATCAACTTTATTTTGATCCGGACCCGAGCGTAAAGTCCAGGGCACAAAACTGGCTATTTACTGCACAGCGGTCCCCTCAGGCCTGGCAGTTTGCCTGGAGTCTGCTGTCACCAGATAAGGTATGTGCAGTAACTACATGTACATTTTTTTAAACTACGCACTCCCTACTTAACCCTTTGAACCCTAAATGCCGGAAAAACGGCTGCGCGCTTACGTTGCAATAACCCTAAAGGCCAGTATACCGGCTTTGCGGGTCAGGTGACGTTATTCGGGATAATCACCTGACCAGTATGAGTAATGACGTAATTTTGTGACATCATTATTCCCAAGTCGTTCTGACAGCCTTGTATGTGATGATTTTTTTGAAAAAACAAATTTTATATTGAATAATTTGACAATAAATGCCAATGTGCTTTACGATTGATAATTTATGACTCCCAAGAATATATTAATGATGACGATTATCCAGGAAGTGATTTGGAAAGTGATAGTGAGGTAAACAGTGTAGTTTCTAGCCCTGGGCCAGGCCGATCACGATAGTGCTATTGCCAGCAGACGGCGGTAGTGATGATAGTTGTACATCGGGTTGATCGATGGCTATGGTAGCGGTACAGGGCCTAGGTGGTGGTGGTGATGATTGTAATAAAAAATAAGCATATTTTGTCCAAATAACTCAGGGTGAGGGTGCCGCAAGATGTAAATAATTCAGGGTTCAAAGGGTTAAAAAACTGCAGAAAAAAATAGAAGATCCTAGTATCTTGAGGGTTTGAGTAGACTATTTAATAATACAGTATAGCTGGCTCAAATGCTATAAGGAAGAGAGATGGGCACTCCAGCCTTTAAGCCTAGAGCTACGGGTTCTAACCTTTACCTTTATTGATACAGCAGGGCTCCTCCTGCAGTGTCCTGTGTGTTGTGGATGCTTCCCAGTACTTAGGTGACCTCCCAAAAGAAATGAAAAATCCTCCCAAAAATCTAACCCATCTCCCTATTGTACAGGTCCCTATTGTACAGGTGCCCCTTCAATTGACCACTTTTAGGACTGGGGTTTCCATGGGCCTTATAATGGCATATCTAGGGTGTGCATGGGGGCACATGCCCCCCCCCCCCCAAAATTACTCACGCCCTCTGTCGCCCCTCAAAAAATCACAGTCAAGTAGTTAAAAATCACCTAAAATCACTTTATTTTGCGAATTAGCGCTCCTTAACTGATCATCGAGACCCCCCACTTCACCTTCGCGCTCTCCCTCCCATCACCACCCTATTTCAAAACTCCTAGATATGCCACTGGGGCCTTAGCAGCTTTAGTCTCTAATTAGAATGATAAAGATGAAAGACATTTGTGAATTTTGGACCACAGATACTGTAAGTGGTCTTTAATTGGAGGTGGTCTTAAATTGGAGGTGGTTTTTAATAGGTGAGGTCTTTAATTAGAGGGATACCTACACTATATTATGTTTTGACTACTGATTACAATTGTCTACCCAAAACCAGCTCATGGTTATCACCATGTGCAGGCTCTTTCTTAGATTTCATATAAATATACAGCTCATTTAACCCTATCTCGTAGAATTAGATTCTTTTAATTTGGGGCCCATGATACACAGGGATTTCATGACAAAATGAGTCTTGTTGTACGTAAGGTCAATTATATGTATTCATAAAAAAATATGTGAGGCTTGCTATCATAAAATCAGCATACTGTCCCTAAATGTTAAACTTTATAGTGTAGAGAAGCTGTAAATACTTTTACTCAACGTTTGCAATTAGTAAAGGTGGAAAATAGGAATGTATTAAAAAGTCAATTTTCTTGTTTTGGTCACTAGCATGGCAAGTCCCATATATGAATGTTGATTTATTTTAACAAAAATTGGGTTTCATTTCTGAAGTTCAAAATTATCATACTCTAGTTGCACACAACCTGCAGTAGGAACTCGATTCAAAGACCAAAATAAAGTACATCATATGTACTGTAAAATTTCACAAAGAATGAGGATTGCCATCCCAAAACCAGCATACAATCGCTAATTGTTAAATTGAGTAGAAGAATATGGCAAAATTGTATACTATAGTACTGGGAAGTCGTAATACTGTACTTTTACTCAGATATTTGGCAACAGTAAATCAATTGAAATAAACGACCAATCATTGGAAATCTTTAAATAATGTGGAGAATAAGATGTTAAAAAGTCAATTTTCTTTTTCTTTTTTTTTGGTCACTGATGCAGATTTTGGGATGGCAAGCCTAATGTTTAATTTAATCAATATGTTCTCATCATATTTCCATTTGGAAATGAATTACAGATTCCTCTTCTATTGGTACCTTTGTAATAATATTTTTTTATGGTAGGATGTAGACTGTCGAAGGAAGTAGTTGGTATTACATTCAATTAAGCTTCTCTATTCTACAGTACAGTATGTGTTCTGCATTCTTTGTTAACAATAACATATGAATCTCTGTATTGCCGCTTTTTCCATTATTTTCTCCTAAATTTATCTGTGACAAAAAAACTCTTGTATGCCTGTATATTGGTCATGATGTGATGTCATTATGACCATATAAAGGCATTTCACATGTTTTTTTGTCAAATAAATTTTTTTTTATTATAATCTGTACAGTACTTTATATAAACAATTATGAGTCTTTGCATAACATGTGACATATTTGAATTCTACTTAATCAAAAATATAATTTGTTAATAAGGAATAAAGAAGTCCTGCCTGATTTTCATTTGTAAGCTAATATTAAATGCAAATAAGAATTTTTTATTAAAATTTTATGTTTATTTTTACCTCAACAAAAAAATGTGTATTTTCTGATCCAGTAATGTTCTGTATAATACTGTACTCTCTGACAGACAGGATGTCAGGCTGTCAGACACTTCCCTTAAACTCTGTCCAGCAAAATCTGTTGAATGCCCATACATAGACATGATATACTTTATATGGTCATTTTATGCCTATATATGATCATGATGTGATGTCATCGGACCACAGATACTGTAAGTGGTCTTTAATTGGAGGTGGTCTTAAATTGGAGGTGGTTTTTAATAGGTGAGGTCTTTAATTAGAGGGATACCTACACTATATTATGTTTTGACTACTGATTACAATTGTCTACCCAAAACCAGCTCATGGTTATCACCATGTGCAGGCTCTTTCTTAGATTTCATATAAATATACAGCTCATTTAACCCTATCTCGTAGAATTAGATTCTTTTAATTTGGGGCCCATGATACACAGGGATTTCATGACAAAATGAGTCTTGTTGTACGTAAGGTCAATTATATGTATTCATAAAAAAATATGTGAGGCTTGCTATCATAAAATCAGCATACTGTCCCTAAATGTTAAACTTTATAGTGTAGAGAAGCTGTAAATACTTTTACTCAACGTTTGCAATTAGTAAAGGTGGAAAATAGGAATGTATTAAAAAGTCAATTTTCTTGTTTTGGTCACTAGCATGGCAAGTCCCATATATGAATGTTGATTAATATTTTAACAAAAATTGGGTTTCATTGCTGAAGTTCAAAATTATCATACTCTAGTTGCACACAACCTGCAGTAGGAACTCGATTCAAAGACCAAAATAAAGCAATTGTATTTGTTGTCTGTAAATAACCCATTTCCATACAGTATTTGCTACCACAAGACTCATTTTGTGATATCATCTAACAAATACACTGCCTTGGTTGCTAAGGAGTTGGGAAAGACCATGTAAACACTAGTTTTTTTATGTATGCTTTCTGGTTTTCCATTGCTGTTTTTATGTTAGAAACTGCACCTCAAGACATTTCATGGGATATGCTTTTTTTGTTATGAGATTACAAAAAATATGAAATTATGAATGATTATCAGTGGTTGATAATCACATAAAGCAAATTTCGTGTTATGTAATATTATATGATGAATAAATTGAACCTTGAACCTTAAGCTATGAAATCATGTAGCATATAAAATGAAAATTTATTCCATTTGTTGGTGACAAATCAAAGTAAATGAAGTCAGCAAATGTTGATTGATTGGAGGGGTCACATGATGCAAACATTTAATTTTCATAGGTTGGAAGGCAGCATCATATGTACTGTAAAATTTCACAAAGAATGAGGATTGCCATCCCAAAACCAGCATACAATCGCTAATTGTTAAACTGAGTATTGAGTATTAGAATATGGCAAAATTGTATACTATAAATATAATACCGAGAAGTCGTAATACTGTATTTTACTCAGATATTTGGCAACAGTAAATCGATTGCAATAAACGACCAATCACCGGAAATCTTTAAATAATGTGAAGAATAAGATGTTAAAAAGTCAATTTTCTTTTTTTTTTTTTTTTGTTTTTTTTTTTGGCCACTGATACAGATTTTGGGATGGCAAGCCTAATGTTTAATTTAATCAATATGTTCTCATCATATTTCCATTTGGAAATGAATTACAGATTCCTCTTGTATTGGAACCTTTGCAATAATATTTTTTTATGGTAGGACGTAGACTGTCGAAGGAAGTAGTTGGCATTACCTTCAATTAAGCTTCTCTATTCTATGTGTTCTAAATTCTTTGCTAACAATAACATAAATGAATCACTGTATAGCCGCTTTTTCCATTATTTTCTCCTAAATTTATCTGTGACAAAAAAACTGTTGTATGCCTGTATATTATTCATGATGTGCATATATATGGTCATGATGAGATGTCATTATGACCATATTTAGTCATTTCACATGTTTTTTGTCAAATAATTTTTTTAAAATTATAATCTGTACAGTACAGTACTTTATATAAACGATTATGAGTCTTTGCGTAACATGTGACATATTTGAATTCTACTTAATTAAAAATATAATTTGTTAACAAGGAATAAAGAAGTCCTGTCTGATTTTAATTTGTAAGCTAATATTAAATGCAAATAAGAATTTTTTATTAAAATTTTATGTTTATTTTACCTCAACAAAAAATGTGTATTTTCTGATCCAGTAATGTTCTGTATAATACTGTACTCTCTGACAGACAGGATGTCAGGCTGTCAGACACTTCCCTTAAACTCTGTCCAGCAAAATCTGTTGAATGCCCATACATAGACATGATATACTTTATATGGTCATTTTATGCCTATATATGATCATGATGTGATGTCATCATGACCATATTAAGGCATGTCACATGTTTTATCAGATAAAGTTTGTTAAGGTCTGGACAGAACTTTAGTAGTGTGCTGGCCTTGGGAATGGGATGCTCAAGGCCTTGGGCGAAGGGACTTAATTTCCTGTTGTATTCGCATTTGATTGTAGCAATATATCTTGCAATGCTCTGATCTTAAGTTGGTTGTTGACCTCTTCTCCATTGCATTCCCTTAGGGGGCTTCTGGAGTATTACGTTTTGATGCTGATATTAAAGAGATCTCAACACTGAGGGAAAACCAAATGAAATTTTAAATTAATTAATAGATAATGATAATAATGATGATTCTAACAATAATGGCGAGAATGATAATGATCACAATAATGATTACTGCTGTAACACTAATAATATCTATTGAAAGTGCACCTTTTTAATGTCAAATTGTTGGTGAAAGATATATCTTGGACTCTAAGAGATATGAAGTCAATAAAATGCTGTTGGTGAGGTGGGCGATAAACATTTTAAGGGTGGGTAGATGATAACATTAATAATCAAAATAATCAGAGTAGATTTTAAGGATGCAAAGTTTGGTTAATAAGGATGGGTGGAAGGCCATATAATAAGCTTTAGACTGGGTTGAAAACTTCAAGGCTTCACCCACCATAACTACATCCCTACGATAAGAAAGAAGAGTACTGCACAATGTCTGTATATAAAGTTTATAACGGTGACGTCTGTAAAATTAATAATTAAAAATATAGATTTTATTAATATTTTTTATTTAATTCAATGCGACTTTATTTCCAATTGCATCATGAAAATATAATATAATATGAATAATTCAAATATAACAATTATAATGAATATAGTGATTAAATCTTATGGATTTGGAAAAACGCATACAAAACAAGTATATACTTTTTATCATGCAGCCTAAAATTCAACATAGGTCAGGGGTTTAATTCTCACCCTCTTTTTTCTGTCTTTGGTTTGTGTCCAAGGAATAAAGTGGGATATTTTGATGGTTGGAAAAGTTCCATGTTGAATTTTTCATCTAGCCTGCCAACGCATGACTAGAAGGGCTCCCTAGGGATAGGAGAATGTACACTGTTTTATTGTTAGAGTTCAACTGACAGGGGACTAATGGGAAGGACTTTGACATATTCAGGCAAGCACTATTACAAGTCTCCCTTCAATAAATACCTCTTTTTGGACCAGGGATTTCCTGGTTTTTAATAGCTTTTTAATAGTTTTCTTAAAATTAGAAATACAGTATTTAGGTGTTCATCCAGGGCCACATCAACGTGGTTTTTAATTGGAGGTGGTCTTTTTTTGGAAGGTTCTTTAATTATAGGAAGACCTGTGTTAACAATAGATTGACTAAAATTTCTTCAAAATTATGTTGTTAGTCCAACAGTATTGTAATACTGTATTTAATTAAATGAATCAATTCCATTTATTTGTGTTTTCATTATCAATTTAAATCAATCAAACTTTTCAATTTTGAAAAATATGAATTGTCCTCTCCTATTAGTAATTTCATTTGATTTATAAGGAACTTGACATCTGCAATATACTGTAATGTTTTTTTTTTAAATGACCTGGTTTATACAACTTTGTCCATGTGTGGAGTAGTTCATACAGCCCGGTCAGGTGACCATTCCAGAACATAGCAATTCCAAGTAAAAAGACATGCTTCCCGTAATTAATGTCAAACGGAACCCATATAATTGTACCGATAATCTCGACTCCTTGTAATTTGAGCCATACGTCTGAGGAAAAGTATCGGTTGCATTGTAATACGTCTCCTGCAGCTGCTTTTACATTGTTGAATTTATTTTCTTATTAGGCAGCAGAGGTGCAGTATTTTGGAGCAAGTGCATTATACATGAAAATCACCCGATATTGGTATGTAGTTATACATGTTCTTTTTATTGTTATATCAGCAAATCTTGTTAGTGTTTGTTTGAATGGTTAACTATTAGTATTATATCACTATCAGGAATTCAAATGTTACGATCATTATTACATTTGTAGTAAAAGTGCTTTCTGTATCTTCCTTATTCTATTGTGTTTAATTTGGTTTTATCAAATTTTATTGTTATTAAATTGCATTTTTTTATGTATATGAAGGCCCAAAATATTCAGATGTACTGGATGGGCTACCAATGGTTTTAAATAAATAAATAAAATAATATTGATTTCCGAAACTTACGCTCTAATCTGAGGCACGTTGTGGCAAAATGACTAAGTTGTAGCAAAAATTGAAATTAGAAGTTATTGGTATTTTCAGATACCTGAGTATGTGGTCTTTAAAATGAGGGGTCATTCATTGAAATTGGACATTTCAATCCTAAGTTATTGGAAAGTGAAAGTACAGTTCTCTTTGAGTCAAGATAAACATGATTTTGAGTAATTGCCTTTCAGAGTTATTTGTGCATACCTTTTTTAATAGAATAAACTATCAAAATAATGTTAAATAAACCATTCGTTGACCACTTCCAGAACTAATACTTTGGCACATGATTATTAAGACATTAAACTGTTGATCTATAGCAGTGTTTAAGCTGTCATTAGCCAAATAGCCAAATCCTAATAAAAGCTGAATTTTGCTAAATATTTTCTTTCAAAATTAGCCAAAAAGCTAATGAAATTGAAGCTATTATTGCTTATATTCTTTTGTTTTGGATAATAAAATTTCTGTTTGGCTAATTATTTTCATACCAAATTGCAAAATATTATTTTTGGCCAGCTTAAACCCTGCTATAGTGAAAAATAAATTTGGATTTTTAGGCAATTTTTTGAGCTCCCTTATTTTATAGCTCATTTACTCAATACTGGCCTGTGCGACAACTTAACAATTTCACCACGACATGCCTCATGTAGGTAAATACAGTGTATTAAGAACCTGAATATACTTTACTAGTGGTTTAGGTTTAGTTTAGGTTTAATAAAAAAAAATTTAGGTTTAAGTTTAGTTTAGGTTAATTGTAGGCTTTTAGTCAAGGTTTAGTTTTTGTTGTATTAGGTTTTGTTTCAGTTGTTTACGTATTTTAGGTTTAGTGTAGATTTGTTTGGGTTTAGATTGAATTTTAGTTTAAGGCTTAGTTCAGCTTAGGTTAGTTTAGGTTCGCTAACAGAAGGTTTAGGTACCAAAAATTGAAGCAATAATTGTATTGTGCTTAAGAGAATCCATTGTTGACATGCAACTTTATTCGACATCACCTTTCCAAAAAAACAAAATGCTATAATTATATATTAATTAATATGTAATTCGAGGTGATGCTAATTAATTTTAACCTTTTAGGAGTGAAGTGCATCCTGAACAGTACGCTAACTTACGGACACAGTTGTTCCAACAAATATTTAACTTCTCTTCCGCTACTCGCATTGTTTTAACGAGGCTCTGTGTAACAGTGAGTATTTCGTTTGTGTGTATTTAAAAAGAGAAGCTATTTAAGTTTTATTCTGTCTTCTGCTTTGCTACTACCAGAATCATTGTTGTCAATATCATCATCATCGTAATTAGCATATTTTGTTTATCATCACCATTAGGCCAAGCCTGACTGACCCAAAAATCTCGAACATATTCTAAAGTCTTTTTTTTTTCGAGCTGCACAACATAATTTTTTTCCCCTTATTATCAGCATTTTCATCAGAAACAACATCATCATGATCCTAAGTATCTTTGTTATCAATATCATCATCATTATTTTAATTTTAATATTTTGCCATCAAGGAATCAATGAATAATTTTTGTCGACAATACAACTTGATACAGTCGAAATTTGGATCCAGGACAGTGCTTCAACAGTGGGTTAAATGTTGTATAGATATTAAACTTATACAACGGGTTACAAATATACTCTAGCATTAGCATTGAACATGTATCTATTCAGCAGTAGATATCAAATTATACATTCAGAAAATGATTTAAATTATATACATATATGTATAATTATTGAGAGATTACATGTAAGTTGTCATTAGTGGATCCCAGGGCTTCATACCAGGTTTCCCTGTCTTCAACTAATCCAAGATCCATCACATCTTTTCTAAGAATTTTCAAAAGGTAAAAATATTTGTATGCTGTTTTTGTGCTCCTTTTTTCCTCAACCATTTAGTGATCACAAAAATCTGTATCATGTTTCCCTCTAATGATACTCATTGCATTATCAATGTGATTTAAAACATTAATCTTTATTAATAATCCATTTGAAGCAGACTCAAACTACTGTTTAATTAGCAAATAAACTAGCCTTTTGTAGTGTAGTGTTTCAAGATGGCTCATGCTATTACGTACCTTCTATCCAAATCCATCATCGCTAATCCGCTTAGATGCTGTCGTGGTGTACTTACCGAGGATCAGTTTCAACTAACTTACTTTCCTATGCATATATAAAGCCGCTTATAGTCTCATTTTCACAGATTTTAATCGTTTTACCTGGTAACTTAAACTCGCATGCTTAAAGCTTGTTCAATAGACGGATGTTTGTTGTTGCGTTATTTGCAGCTTGCTTCGTTCGCGCTGAACACAATGCCTGAAGTCTGGTCAGACGCGGTCAAGAGTATGATAGAGACGTTCCACCAAGCAGATGTACCGCAAATGGACGTAAGTATCATTAATATACTAATTCAGTACAGTTTTTATTTGTGATTTTCATATCAAAAATTTTATTTTGCATCATTTTGTCAGCAAGCCTCTTTACCATTCCTTAGATAGAAATACTGCATTTATTTTAATAAAAGCCCCTGAGCATTTACTGTTAAGAACAGTTTTTGAGGGATGCATTTATTTGAGGGATGCATTGATTCGTGGGAGGTGTTTATTTTTTTGGTGTAAAATGGATACATAGATTATATACTCATATATGCGCCCCTTAATTTCAATGTAAATGTTGAACCACAGCACATAATTATTGTCAAAATGTGTTACTGCGTGATCATAAAGACTTATTGATCCTACCAGGTTAGAAAAATGTAATTTTAACTGGAGTAGGCTTATTCTAATAAATGTAAGTATATAATCCATTGCTGGGTCAGGTGACTCAACTGCAGCAAAAAGCTTGCTGTCAAACATCGGATATACCACAGCAGTGGAAGACCCTTTCTACAACAATTGCTGTCAGTGTGTGGGGAAATTCGAACCCTATTTTACTGACATCATGCCATTTCTTTTTCAACTTGGATACATACAGAATACTGTATGCATTACAACGAAAAACTAAATTCTTTTTGTAAATGCAACTTCAGTAAAAATTAACTAAAGATATCATCCAAGGAGAATCTTAGTAATTTAGAAGGTATTTTATGGTTTTTAACAATGTTTTTAAACAATATACTATATTGTTTTATTTGTTTTATATAACATTTTTGGAATTTTAAATTAACTGCACAGTGCCATTACCATTTTCTTACCTTCTCTTTCGATTTTTTTGTATGTTTTATTTCAGTATGCTATTTTATCAAACTTCTGATCTTAACTAATTTTACTTCACCAGTTTTACTTACGATATGTTTGCCCGTACATTATTTGTTTTTGTGATTTGTGGACCAACCGTTTTGTCTAATGTATGCCTCTTTTTTAAAAGAGAAGTTCTAATAAAGTTTCATATTATTATTAAAGACTACAGTATTTTCACAAAAATACAAGTTACCTAATAAATTCATAATCTGATGTGTTTTCCCTAGGAGAGAGAGAATAAAATAGTTAAAACACTCACTCTGTAGTTTGACTGGCTAATGTAAGATGGTAATAAAGTAAAGGAGCCTATTTTGTTTTTGCGTGAATATTCAAAATTATATGCTAATTGCTGATTTAGTTAATGTTTCATCAATCAAGAAATTTATACTAAATACCACCATAATTCCCATTAAAAAATTCTAATTTAGTTGAAAATTGTAATACAGTATTTCTTCATTTATTATTGTCACTGTGGTAGTTACCACGATAACTGAAATTTGGTAATTCTGATTGGTTTCAAACTTATCAATTCTCAGAGAAAAATCACGCCAATTGGAGGCTATGCTTTTACTTCTCAGTGTAAAAGGAGCATTTCTAGTTTGATATGTCACATTCCATAGAAATTGATAAATGAGATGAAACGGTCAATTAATTGCAATTAGGTAAAAAATTTAAATTAATTTTGTATTTATATATAGTTGAATTGTGGTAATGATTCAGACAGTCTTATCGTTATCATCCTTTCCTGTCTCTCGACATAGCGATGTAATTTGACTTTCTCCTGACTGATGCCAAACTTCCCAGCAGCTGGTATTTCCTACTGTAACTTCATAATGAAAAATTATTGAACTGAAGAGTCACTTTGAAACTTTCTTCATTTGAATATTGTTCCTGAATTTGTGGGCCTATTTTATTGAAGTTTCGGAAGCGGAGCTAAAGGTGCAGACAAAAGGTTGAGAGCTATTGGAGCTCATACATGGCCACATACAGAGAGTGACACAGATTCAATTCTGGAAGTTTTCGTAAACCAGTATTTTGTCAATGAATTTCTGTTCAAAAATTTTCAGTGGGAAGCGCTGTGAGCGTACTCTTTCTTTAAGTTGGAATGTCCATTAAGTTGATTTGCGTGCCCAAATTTTTTGCTGTTTTCTGGGTGGCGCACCTTTTTCAACCCTGTCTATGCGCTTTATGAAAATGTGAAATTCTATGTGATGAACTAAACTGTTGCTAATTTCTTTTCGCTTTAGGCAACAAACAAGTGTCTAGCTTTGTTGGAGTTACTCACAGTACTGCCGGAAGAGGTATGAATGTGAATTCTTGTACAGTATATGCTTAAGCCTGTCTAGACTATTCAATTTTATTTGACAAAAAATGTATATACCCATATATATAGTCATGATTTGCCTATAAATATTCATGATGTGATGTCATCATGACCATATTTAGGCATATCACATGTTTTTGCCAAATAATTTTTTTTTTCTCTTTCGTGGGAAATAAAATTTGATAGTCTGGACATAACTTTACAATTGAATATAAATTTTATGTTCTTCAGAAAGCTGAATCAATATAGAAATAATCATCTTTTTAGATCATTAAACATGCTTTCTGTAAAATGTCATTAAATTATTTAATAAAACATTTTAATAAAATCAATAGAAAGCTTAGCATATTGTATTAAAATGTCTTACTAATTATTTATTTGTATTTTATCATATATATTTTTATCATTTTAATTTATTTATTCATTTATTCAATCATTAATTTATTTTTTTTTTATTGTTCATGCATTCGTTCTTTTAATAACCCTTTCATCAATCTATTAATGCACTCATTTATACATTTATAATTTTATTTATTAATTTATTCCTTTGTTGTTCTTTTGTTTGTTCTTTTATTTGTTCATTCATTTGTTTGTCATTTACGTTCATTCTTTTTATATTTATTCAGTTATTTATCCATTCATTCGTTTATTCTTCTACACATTCATTGTGTTTTTTAATTAAGAAAACATTCAGAGTTAAGACCTTTATTGATATATAGAGATACTGAGATTCAGATTCAAATTTCTTTAATTTGTCTAAAAAGGAAATTACAGTAGGTGCAAAATTACATTGAAGAAAATACTTTAGAAAGCACTAAAACACATAAAATAAATCTTACTAAAAAAGTTTTGTAAGTTCTTTAGTCCCATTCAAAAGGATTAAAGAGTTTACTGGCTGCTTTTAAAACTTCCTATTTACTATGGTACAAAAAAAAATCATGATTGATAACATACAGTAAGTGTACCCATCTTTTCTGTTGAATCTTAGTTCCAAACAGCACCCTTAGGCAGTTCAAGAAAAGTGACAGTTCGACAAGAACTCCAAAAAGGCTTGCAACATGGTGAGCTTCAGAAATATATGTTATTAAACGTGATCAGATTTATCCACACTATCAAAGTCATCATGAAATAAAATGTTTATTGATATTACTGTATTTGTAATGCATGATGATAGTGTAAAATTTTACTATTGTTATAGTTGAGGCACTCTCAGCAACAACAATTAACAGTGCCACAAGCATTTATTTTTATTGTTACTTAGCCATGCAAACCTTTAAACAATATGTTGTTACTATATTTGTTATGATTACGAGTGTGATTATGATTACAATTTGTGTTATTAATTGTTAATATTTTCAATATCGTTTTCATCGACATCATCACCACCACTACCATCACCACCATCATCATCATCAACATCAACATAATAATAATCATCATCATTATCATTATCATCATCATCATCATATCACCTTTATCATCATCATATCATCATTGTTATTATTATCATTATTATTATCTTTTCCTCAACAGTGCTACCACTACTTCAAAACCTCCTTGATCAGCAAGACTCGCCGGTGTCCATCCGCCACCAAGCATTAAGATGCTTCTCAAGTTGGGTTAACTTTGGTGTTCCCTTGATAGACATCAATCCATTCATTGATACACTCTTTAAATATGTCCATGACGAAAACCTCTATGATACATGCATTGATTCCCTAATAAGCGTGATCCAGGAGCCGTCAGCTTACAAGTAAGTATTTTCCTGTCCATGATTTTCCACGATTCATCGGCTTCTTCCACTAACTCCATTCCATCCTTTCTACATTCAACATAATGGACCTTTCCGGGATGTCAATCCCACTTTACAACTGACCAATCAAAATAATATCAGGAATACATGCGTATCCAGGAAACCCATGTTGTCCCACAAATGCATATGTTTGCTTATGTTTTTACACTGTTGTCTGTGGGATCTTTTAGCAAAAGTATCTAAAGGCCGGGCCATTCAATTCCATTTGAATCTAGGCAGAAATTCTTCATTCGTCTTTCTTTCAAAAATATTCCAGAACTCAGATCACCCGGTGACATACTTATCTCCCACAGCATCGCTCATGCTTGATATACTTCATTTGCTTAATGAATCTTCCTTTATAAATATATTTTATATATATTTTAAATTACATACTTTAATAAGCCTATAAAATTTATTTGTTATGACATCATTTTTGACTTATAGTATTTATTATATAAACTCAAATCAATTCAACCATCATTCAGAACAATACATTGATATGTTCACTGATGATTTATTTTTTTCTAATATCGAAATTATTTAAAGTCCTGTCCAGGCAACAAATATCATTTGACAAAAACATGTGACATGCCTATGGTCAAGATGACTTCACATCATGACCATATATAGTCACATCATGACCATATATGGGCACATCATGACTATATATGGACATATACAGAAGTTTTTTTTGTCAAAGAAAATTTTATTTATAATTTGGACAGAGCTTTATGTTTTACTAGCTGTTATGAGAAATAATAACTGAAATATTTGTGAATGAATTACTTTGACGTATTTAGATACCCCAATACAATAAAGAAGATAATTCCGCAAGTTCTCCGTCTCCAGGATTTGTTGGCCAATGCAGTAAGAGAAAAGGACATGGTAAGCACATAATTATATTATCAGCTTTTTAAATAACGTGGTTCGTTTTATGTAGCGCTTCATGCTGAAGTCTCAAAGCACTTCAAGGTGTGGAGACTAGCTCGTGCAGTAACTTCCTTCACTCCTGAGGGCCTCTTTGTGTCTGAGTTACCTGGTAAACCGGTACCAGTTGTCTTTCGTCTGTCCAGAACAGGGGCTGTATGAACCAGTACACTGGGGTAATCCGGCCCCTACTCGTCTCAAAAGATATACTGGGTTCTTTATAGTGCAGATGAGCCATTGTGTACACTGGACCTACAGTGTGTAATTCTTATGTGAGAAGACTTGTTCCACCACCAGAACCATAGGTGAGCGTGCCGTTTGAACCAGCACCGATATTATGGCTGCAGGTTGCAGTGCCTCTGCCTTAACCACTTGGCCATCCAACTCGCCATAAAATATTATGTACATCGAGAGAAATTTTGTCTCTGTTTTACTCTAATTTTGGATGGATCTAATGATTTTTATTTTGTCAGTTCCATATTTATTGTTTCAAGAACTTGAAAATACAGCTGTCGCCTTCTTTTAAACTTTTACTTTTTTTCAAATCATTGTAAGCCATATTTTAAACATGCACATGGGTCTCCTTTTTTTTCTTGCATTTTTGCAGTCCATTTCAAAATTTATTTAGATTAATTTTATTGCTTAATGTTTTAGGTTTTGCTGAGTTATTTTATTATTTATTTCTTTTTATGAGACTTTCATTCAGTAGTATTCCCAGGTTGCTATAGAGTACAATACAAGTGTCGTCACAACACCAGGTGGCACCCTCTGTTGTCAACCAGACGTTAGTCAAGCTGTCATTACGCCTGAATGACTTCATAATCATAGTGGTTTAGAATAGCCTTTCTGGAATAGGCATTTTAAAACCTAATAATTTACCATCAAAATGTACTAAAATCACAAAAGCTCACCATATATTAGTTATCAAACGTATATTTAATCATCAATTAAAATTTATAGAAAGAGAAATTACGATACAACATCATAATAATTACATTAGAAATTGGCATCAATGGTTTGTTAGTAGAGACAATGGATCCATTTGAGCGCATTTTTGGTCGCTGATAGCAGCAGAATAGTATCATCTCTTAAGACTTTACTGTAAAACAACTCATTTTAATTGGCCAGTTTAAATTTAGTTTTAATCTGATTGGTCGTTTTTTAAGTACTTTCCGAATAAAAAAAATTTATTGTAAATATACATTGATGGGTGCTTGAAAGTGATGAAATTAATCAAAGCATAAAATCTAAAAATATCTTTGTCTGTTTTTTGAGTTAAATGTTTTTACCTGTGTACTTTTCTTTTTAAATTAAGGACCTTGTTCATGGAATCTGTAGACTTACCGTGGCTATAGGAGAGAACCATTCAAAATTGATCCTTGAGGGTGAAGAAGAAGAGCGCCAGCAGTGTCTGGATCTTACAAACCTAATCTTGGTGAGTCTTGTCACTGTCCCTCGTTAACTTCTTGTGTTACTGTGTCTCATGATCGTTAATGCTTACTGTTAATCCTTCTTTATGTGCACTGAGTCACTGAAATGTTTGCATCCCTGGTTCAGTCGCAATGCTGGAATGCAACATAATAAAGCACACCATCGCTTGGACAAGAGATTTAATCCATTAACTTGTAAAACACAGACACACACTTTGTTATTAAAGTGCCTTGCCCAAGGGTACAGACGACTTGCACAGTGAGGGACACCCTAGGGGAAAGGGTGGATGCCAGTTGGTTCCTCCATGAACTCACCCGTGCTTTAATCCTGTTGGGGGTCCACACAACCCTCCTCACCAAAGTTTCCCCAGGTGGATGAGCCGGTTTAGACCCCACGTATTCAGGCAGCACTGTGCCGGAATACAACCGGCGATTCCGATATTTTCTTGAGGGTACTCTGCAGCACTCAAGAAAACAACAGGCGATTCCATTATTTCATTAAGTGTATGCTGCAGTTTCGCCCATTATTGATGGCCTGCGTATTGTTGGTACTGTATTCTGGCACAGGGCTGATGTATGCACTTCATGGAGTGACTGCTCTCGTTTGAAATGAAGATCGTATTCTAGTGTAATTTTTACTTTGCATGTCATCTTGCATGAATATATATTCTAGATATAATTATTAACTCGATGATTAATATAGAAAATATGATGTTTCAGATTTGCTGTTTGATGTTTTAATATTAAAATCATATTTTTTTCTTGTCATTAGGGTTTTACTGCTCTGCCCGGGCACTATCCAGTCGATGAAAACATAAGTAATATGCCATTCGGCTTCTGGTATATTTTACAGGTATTAACAAAAAATTGTATTTTGACCATAAATATAAGAAACCATGGCATGAATCAAACAAAATAAATAAAGCAATAACAAATCAGCAATATTATAGAATACAATACAATTATTGGCCTTTACATGGTTAAGTTCTACATTGTGGTGGTAAGACGACATTTTTTATACCTTGTTTAGTGAACCCACTGCCTGCCAATAATGATGATTTCAAATAACAATTAAATCTTATTTTTGGAAAATTTGTTCACCTGCCGCTACAAAAAATGGAAATTTCAGAAAAAAATAAATGTTTTTCTTTATTTTTATTAAACCTGCTGCTACCTTGGAATTTACAAAAATAAGGTATAACATGTATGCTTGCATTACACTTGTGATGACTAGGATACGACCAGTATCAGGACTTAAATTTGTTCTAATGTAAATGAAATTTTCCCCCTTTTCATTTCATATACCAAATTGATTAGGATGAAATTACAGGAGCCGACGTTCAGAAATGTCAAGAGTATCTCATGGTGTTTGCGCCCATATATATGCATTTGGTGGATGTGATGCTTACTAAAGTGCAATACCCCATGGAAGAGGAATATAACACTTGGAATTCAGGTACAAAAATGCTATAGATATAGTAGGTCTGGTAGTCGTCATTGAGTAGATCATGGTTAAAACTGATCTGTCACAAGCTTCATTGCCTGTTTTATTGGGACAATTTCAATTCAGTTCAGATATGTTTTTCAATGATCAACTGTTATTTCGATGTGAGTTTGCGTCAGAAAAATATCATAGGAGTGATGTTGTGCCCTACTTAATGTGTTGTTGTACCGAATACTCGGTACGTCCCCAATACTTGCGAAAAAAAAAATTGTTTTCGTAAGTATTTAGGGAACGTACTGAGTATTCAGTAGCATAAACCTCACTCCTGTGATCAATTGTGTTGTTTAATTTTACAGAGGAAAAGGAACAGTTTCGGTGCTACAGACAAGATATAGGTGATACATTAGTGAGTACTATACATTTTGTGGTAAATGTGTAATGTTTAAATATTGTAATGCACAAAGATCTTGTCTCACCACTGAAATGAATCATTTTGGGACTTACTTTTTAGGTCATGACATAATTCCTTTCAGAGTACTTGATGTTAAGATTGCGTATATAGTAAAAAACAGTTGCTCTATTAAAAATTATGAATATAGTTATTTAGCTTCTGGTGGTCAGTGAAGGTGAAAAAATAATCTCTGTTCTTTAATACTTTGAGCTCCTGGTGTTTTTCACAGTGATCACACATGAAACCAGAATTTTCAGCTGATTTTATTGGGTTTTGAAATGTTCCTGAGAAAAAATACTTAAAGGCAAACAAAATCTATTATATACCAAAAGGAAAAAAACAATACAAAGACTTTCAAAATTATACCATTTCTTTTATTTAATGAATATTGTAACATGTATAAAATTTGATAATTAGTATTGCAACTTTTCGCAAACTTAGCTCAAAATTTGCGAAAAGTTGAGATAATGAGCTTTGAAAGGAAGCTTTTTTACTACATGAGTGGTTGGTTGGTGATTTCAAATAATGTTTTCAGGCAGTCCAGACATTCAATAGAGCTCAAATCTTTTACACAAGAACTGTAATAGCGCCCTCTATATGATTATACAAAAAAAAACACTAAAGACAGAAATCTCTGCCTTTGGCGCTCAAATAATGGGTTACCAAAGAACGAGATTTCCCCCTTTGGCGCTCAAAATGTTAATATTATATTTTTTTTAATTGTTTGTAGATGTACTGTTTCACATTGCTACGACAACCTCTGTTGAATAACTTATATGGTATGCTAGTGAGGGTTCAGAGTCAAGGTGGATCTTGGCAGGTTGGTTGAGTTTTTATTCTTCCATTTCTTTTATTTCCTTTCATCTTTACTGTTTTTTTAATGGCAATTCTGAGATATATTTCCCAGTGAGAGTGATGGAATGAAGGTATTAACCAATCAGTCAAATAATCAGTCAAATAATCAATCTTTTTTTTACTATACACAATACAAAAGTTACAAATTGGTTTAAAGGGATAACCATGAAAAGCTGAGATAATGAGCTTTGAAAGGAAGCTTTTTTACTACATGAGTGGTTGGTTGGTGATTTCAAATAATAGTGGGCCCTCTAGGGCCTATATACATTTTCAGGAGATTTTAAAAAGATAAAAAATTAATGTGCTAGGACACATTTTTTATTTTATTTCTTTAGAATAAAAATCAAAGTTGCTTTGTCATTATATTAACCTGTATTTTTTATATCATTTTCTTCAGCAACTTGAAGCTTTGCTGTTTGCATTTCGGTCAATTGCCGAAGTTGGAGAGTATGGCGATGATGAATGTGTTGATAATCTCCTTCGCCTCTTACCACAAATCAACATGTCAAATGTAACTTTAGCATCTACTGCCCTCTATATGCTAGGTGAGTGTACATGATTTTAGTGTATATTGATGTTAACAAAGATCGAGTGCTGGCAGTATTAAATTAGTTCCTCCTCCTCAATTATTGGTTATTTTATTGTTTTGCTGTCTTTATGTAAATTGTTTTTGCAATCTTTCTTTCAATTTATAATTAATGTGATTTTATATGCCCTTTTAATTTCTTCCATTTTTAGCTTTGAATTAGGTTTTATGTCTGGTTCTGTGCTTTTTATTCATTATTACTTGACTTTCAACATTTTTTTTATGTATGTGTTGTGAATTTATTGAATTTTGCCGTGTTTATATTTTTAATTTTTTAGATTGCAATAATTGTGATATATTCATTCAGTGAGTGATATGCGATGATGTGAAATTGACTCAGAATGATTCAGTATTCTATTTTATTATTATTTGTTAATATTATTAGTATTATTATACCTTAGTAGGTGATTGTGACCATAATGTATAATTAGTTCAGCTTAATCAGTAAACTGAATTATATGTATGAATAAAAAGTTGTTATTGTTATTATTAATTTTCTTTTGATAAATATATTCTGTTGCATGAGTACTTGCCTGGATAAGCCAACAATTTCTCCTATAAATTGAATAGGGAGTGAGGATGTGTACTTGTGCTGGGCTATTTATGCAGGATGCCATGCACCGACTCTTCCATTTATCCTCAAGGAGTATTTTTTAATTCATGAAGATGAGAATAGTTACTTTATTGAGGTTAAGTATCTTTCTCATAGACATTAACATTTGTGTAATTTGTCTTTTAGAGGCTTATTCTGAATGGCTTGCTGACATGCCAGAAGCTCTAGATAGTGTCATTCCTCTGGTGCTCTCAGGTATGTCTCCAGATTTACTCTGGAGATCATTTTCAGCTTTGTTTAGTATTTTCACACTTGAGTCTTCAGCTGGGCACTCACTGTAGTTGACGTGATTCTATATAAATGTCAACACCATGATACGTGCAACTAATCATTTTTAATGAAGATCCATTCACCAGACAACCAATCAGCAATCAGCAGACAGTGTGTCGCATCATCTAGTTCTCAAAGGAAGTGGAGTTACTTTCGACGGCCGACGTTCTTAATGACCGTCGTACAACGCAGTAATTGCCTGACTTCCAATGCGCATCCTTGTGGGCCTCTAAAAGATTTTTGAATTTATTTGAAAGGTTGTTTTGGTTTTTTTTTTCTTTTTCCCATGCCCTATATTGAGGTGCTTCTTTGTTTGGGACAAATTTTACATAATCATTATTTATTTAAAATAATATAAAAAACAATTTTTTTCTCTATTTTCTGTAAAGTGCTGTATCCTTATATAACTGGAATCTATGGAATCATTTCCACTAAATCTCATTTTCCTATCATTTTGTATTTAAAGGTTTAAGTAACCCAGATCTGGCTGTACCAGCAACAATGTGCTTAAAGGAGATAACTAGAGAATGTGCCCTGGATATGAAGCCACATGCTGATCGTGTCTTAACTAGCATACAGGCTGCCCTCAACTCCAACATCTTGAAGGTACTGTATAACATTAATATTATAGAGGGCGTCATACATTTAATTATGGAATGTCTAAATGAGACGTTTTGACTATTTTAGTATTAACCTTATTAAAACATTTTATTGAAACATCTATGTATTATATATGCTTGTTGGTTAAAAGTGCCCATCTCCCATTTCCAGGGTCCTGGGTTCAAATCCTGTGTAGCTGGATCAACTGATAAATATACCTTTGTAGAATTACCAGTCAAAAATTATAAATGTAACTTACTGACCAACAGCAGCACTTACTTGGCTAATAGCAGCTCCACTTCATAATGAGAGACATTAAGCTCTGTTCAGATTGGACTTTTTTGGTCAAACTTTCATGGTTATTTTGGCTCATGAATGTCCAGCATGAACAGTCTGCACAACACTCCCCTTAGTCAAATGTATGTATGTACTTGTGAATTGTAATGGCCATTTTCATTGCAATATAGTATGTAGCCATAGTCTTAGTCATAGTAAAAAAACCTGCTGTTATGTAAATTCAGTTGCGAATGATGGTTATGGTACAATTTGTCCAAGGTAGTGTTGCTTTGTCTTGGTCAATATTAGTGCAAACAATGATTTAATTTTTATAAAGCATCATTCAAAATTCAAGATTAAATTTTTGGTCAAATACAAGTAATAATATAAATATTTTGCAAAGAGTGACCGGTTTGGCTTGTCCTTGCAACAAATATTAAAACATTAAAAGCAGGTTAAAACTTCAAATCGGCATTTGGCTGAAGTTGTTTTACCTCTTCCATATTTCATTAAATTGTCTCATTTTCAATTCTTTCTGTGTTCCATGTTGATGTAACAAAATCATCAAAATTCCAGTACACCATGTGTACTAATATGGTTTCTGAGGTTGTCACAAAGTTTCGGTGAGATTGCTCTGACCATCATCAGGAGAAAATATGGTGATAATGTTATGCAACCTATTCTGCTAATTTAATATACTGATGAAGAAGATAAATTTATTGTTAACTTTTAAGTGTGTACATTGTTGATGTAGACAAAGTGAACTTTAATTGTAAACGCATCTTTTTATTTTTAGTCGCGGGAATGTATACGGCTGATGGCGTCAGTTGGGTTTGTGCTCTCCACATTATCTGTGCAAGAGATCCTGCATTACCTGGATGTCATCGTGACACCACACCTGCAGCATCTGGAAGCCGCGTCCCATGAACAGGTGAGGGGTCAAGTTATTTTTGCTGACTCAGTGCACAACCGTTGGCCAGAGGCATTGCATATTGAAACACAATTGTTTTATGGACGACCACTATTGGGCAATATATTGTACAGATAGCATTTCGTGCTGAAGGCATTATTTTGATAGAGATAATTTTCCAATTTAAAAATAAATTTCTTTTGCAGGCCTTTCCAAATCAAACCTGTCTTGTGATTATAAAAGAAAATTGTATAATATTATAGTATTAAGAATAATGATAATTAGGTATTTATATCAATATTTTTTTGCATGATATAAAGGTAAACAAATAAGTAGGAATTACATTTGTATATAATATATAATACATATATAATGTTTAAACAATTGGTATAACATCTTCTCATCAGCCATCTTCTGTAAAGAACCATGTGAGTCGAATGAGCAGTTGCCATGGTGCATGTAAATACTGCATAGTAGTAATATAATAATTAAAAATACTCTGTGGATTTTAGTTACTGAATGCATGCAACATTAAGCATGCATACCTCTGCCCTTTGCCTGAATATCGAACAATACGCAGACCGTACACTTACACCACTATCAGGATTGGAGGGGACATCACCTGTCTTTGGGGACTCCCAAACTGGGTCTCACAAGCATTAAAGTGTATAATGTGAGCCTTAGTGATTAAACCATTTGCCCTGCAAGTGACTACTAAATTGAATAGATGTGCATGTTTATTAAATATTTGACTACTACTACTTGTTTATTTACCAGAACAGCAATGCAATTTGAATTTAGTGGAAAAAACATGTATCCATGAGTGATTTCTCTCTTGTGTATATTTCAAATACCCAGAAGACAGTTGGTTTAGCATCAGTAGCTTTAATCCCCAGGTTAAAAGAGTTTTGGACATCAAATTTTTCTTCTGCTATGCAACCCTATTATGCCTCTCCATAAAATATGTACAAATCCATGTAATATTCACTATGTGTGTACACATCCTTACATTGATTACTACATTTTCAAAAACCTTTTCTTTTAATGAGGCGTATAAGCTGCATTTACTCAGTTCAGTTGATAATGATGCATGGAGACTAAACCACAGTAACCAAAGAGTCTAGTTAGAATGAACTACTCTTGAGTACTGGAAGCATTGTTCATGAATTCAGAATATGGTTATGTAGCCAATAGACAAGTTACTTTGCATTTTGAAAAAAGAGTATTAATATTTTCACATTCACTCTGTATTCTACCTGTATGCAATTATCTGTGATACGAAATCGACTTGTATTTAAAAAAATTATAATCTTTTCGATAAAGGCTTGAACCTTCCTCTAATGAAGGTTTGAGCCTTACTTTGAAGTAGGCTTGAACCTTCCTCTGAAAAAGACTTGAACCATCCTCTGATAAAGGTTTGAGCCTTACTGTGAAGAAGGCTTGAACTTTCCTATAAAAAAGGCTTGAGCCTTCCTCTGAAAAAGGTTTGAACCTTCCTCTAAAAGGGGCTTGAGCCTTCCTCTGAAGAAGACATAAGCCTTCCTTTGAAAATGGCTTTAGCCTTCTTCTGAAAAAGGCTTGAACCTTCCTTTGAAGAAGACTTGAGCCTTTCTAAGAAGGCTTGAACCATAGCCTACTACTGTACATTATTTACTTAAGTAGTTAAAAAAAAATGAGTGCTATTCAATTCTCAGATGAAAATATGAGTATTTCTCACTATATATAATTATAAAAATGTTTTTGTTGTGCAGCCCTCAGCAGCCAGTAAAGGAACCATCCTTGTGAAGGTGAATATGCTAGCCAGCTTGTCAGCAACACTTGACATACGCCGTGAAGACAAGGAGAACCAGTGCTTAAGCTCACCAATCACCACCAGTCATGACCCTCAGCCGGTGTCATTCCTTCTGCAGAGGGTCTTTCCTATCTTGCAGAAGGTACTGGCAGTGTGGGTGTGTGATCTTGGCATTGTGCAGGTATCCATTTTATTAATTTAGTTTTGTTTTATTTTTTAGAATCTGAATTTACATACCGTAAGACATGCTCCAACCTATATTTATTGTTGAGAAATTATGAATTGGTTTAAGATTGGTGACTATACCCACTGCCTATAAATCTGCTAACCCTACTGTCTAGCAAATCCATCTTTTAATAGTAAACAAACACATATTGAATGAATCTTATACTTATAATGTTGTAAAAGAGTAATTTCTCTGTTATTTGATCTTTGTAATTGTGATTCCAAATTTTAATCCTGTTTCAGTCAATTTGTGAATTCCTGAAGCGAGCTATTACTACGTTATTGGACGATGTTGGTCCGATGGTGCCAGGCATCTGCGAACTCCTTGTCCAGATCTACACTGCGTCTCCTCACGTACCTATCTTAGACCTCTCTCAACAGGTAATGTACAGAATCAATTGTGATGTTGATAAACTGCCTAATTAATAAATGTGACCTTTGCAAGGTCACATTATCTGGGTTTTTGTTCAGTTTCTTTTTCCACCTAATAAATAAATAATAATAATTTGATTTATTAAAAATTTTATTTATTTCTCTCTGTAGGTGCTATTGTTATTCGGCCATAATGAGACATATTCTGGAAATACTCGGTCACTTATTCTACAACTGACAAACAAGACTCTGTCTCTCTTCCAATCAGGTAACAGGATATAAATTTTGTTTTAACTTCTTTCACCTGGGAACCAACCTACTAACACACACACACCTTTGTAGATACAGAAATTATATTCCAGATTTCACTATTCATGGGATCCCATTACACATAGGAAATTAAAACATACATACATATGCTGATGGTCAAGACATTACATGTTTATTGCATTGAATATTCTGTGTGTTAAAACACAATCGCTGGTGAATCAGTTAAAAATGAAACCCACCCAAATTTGCAGTTATTTGTTGAAATGTTCGAGCTGTGCTACTTGTTTTTGTGCCTTGTTTACATTTCCAAAGAAAAACAAGTTTCCAATGTATTATGGTTGAACAATAGATGTTATCAATTATCTTATCAAAATATTACACCCACATTTTACAGGCATGACTACTGCCCTTGCTGTAATCTAAATTTAGATTATGCAATATACAGTAGTACAATTGTCAATTGTAGTCATTTTCATTTATACATTTCATGATCTAATTTTTTTCTTATTAATTATCATAATTTGTGTTCATGAACTCAATTCCACCCCATTTTTTATATTTGTAAATATATTATGGTATCTTTTATTCAAATAATTTATACATAAAACAGCATCTTGCAGTCTAAATAAATCCGAATTACAAAACTGAATTGTTATTGTTATTGATAAAAACAGGAATTCCTTAGTTGTGTTCATTTTATTTTGTACTTCAGTTGTTGTCTTTGTTTATAATTTTTGTGTAAATCTATTCATAATTATCTCAAATGTATACCAAGTAAGGGGTTGTTCACAATTTTCAACACTTTGACAACCACGTTATTAGGTGAGGGGTAGGCAATTTGGTACACTTTTGCATATGCTGAAAATGTTGATTCAAAATAACATGCAGTATTTAAGATATAGACTTATAACCAATTATAATACAGCAATGGATATAATATAGATTTTTATGTAACTAAGTACAGTGCTTTAGTTGACTTCACAAAAAAATGGAGAATTGTTTTGCAAAATCAACAATTTTTATGTACACTTTCAGAGGGGAAGGAGGTGGTACTAAATAAATAAATAATTGAATAAATGTTGATTTTGCAAAACCATTCTCCATTATTTTGTAAAGACAACTATTGCAATTAAATTGCAATAGAGATTTATTTATTAGTATTATCGTATCATAACCGCTTAATTGAATAAACTATATACATTTATCTATGAATACAGGAAGCATTCGTGAACATACAGAAGTTATAGAGGGGTATATGTGCCTGTGTACAAAGATTCTTAAAACGCAACCAGACATGTTAATCTCAGAGGACGTGAACCCATCTGCCATATTCCAATGCGGACTTGTCTCAATCACTTTACCAGAACAGCCAACTGTCAAGGCGACATGTAACTTTTTTGTAAGAATTTTTTTAGTTTATTTGATAATACTAAACTGCAGCATTCAAATGAATATTTGTCTGAAGTGCTCAAAAAATTATATTGAATAGTCTTTAATCCTCGTCCGTAGCATAATGCTTATGCGCTCTTGTGCGGTGGTCCGCAGAGACACTGATCCCTAGGGCCCTGGGGGCCCCTACCTATAGTGTCCTTGATGTGGCTCCCTGACCCATTAGAGATTTGTTGATACATAGCAGCATAATGTATCTCTGGCATCGACTGTAGGACATATATTATGATGGATTAAGGGTGGGAGGTAGCTGCCCCCAGGCCCCCTAAATTTGTGATTTTTTTTTTTTAATGGAGATAAAATTATATTAAAATTTCAAGTGAATGATATTTTTTTGCCATCTAAGGCATCATAATCATAAATTTTCTTACCTCAGCCCCAACCATGCTGGGTCTGAGGTGGTATATACCCTCTGTCCATGAAAGCCCCTCTTTGGCCCACTCTATTCCAAATTCCTGGATTCACCACTGATATCAAATATTAAAAACAATCACATCTAAAATCCCACAATGGAATTGGCGATTGGAAATCAAAAGTTCCCCTAGTTTCATACTCGCTTTTGTCTTGTTTACTGCATGTATTGAGGATCCCTAATGATCAGCTTTGGCTGGATGGACCACCCTCATCAAAGATTGTTGAAATGTAAAAATAAAAATAAAATAAAATAAATCTCAGAAAGCCACAGGGCCTCCGGCACCAGCGTTACGTCACTGACCCTTTGTGGCCCCAGTGACCTAGATTAATTACTGGAGTAGTAACTATTTAGGTCCCAGTCTCCTCCTGGGCGAAGTCACCACCATCCTTTCAGGTGTTTGTACTCTTTTGCAAGTTATTATGTATCTTTGTTATTCAAAAGGTGACTTTGATGAAATACCTCCACAACTTCAATTTTTTTCATATTCTGTTTATCTCGTCCAGGGTTTTTATTGTCTAGACAAAAATTTAAATGCACTTGTCTTTTCCTTGCAAATTTTTGATAAGATAAAACTTTATTGGCATGAACTGATAACTTTGTTTACATTAGTGATCCTAACTATTTACTTCTTATTATACTTAATAATTAGTTATACAAATATGTTTGATTGAAACAAATAATGGTTTTCAGTCTGTCAGGAAATTGTGTACATGATTTGGTCTGATCAGACATCTGCCAAGTTTGACAAATATATCTGATGATGTATGCTCAGCTTAAAAACCATGTTATCAGAAGTTTTGTTTTAATGCTGTAATCTTTTAATTTTATAGAGTATATTTATATCACAGTCCAGTAAGATGCCGTTGTTTAGCCAAACAGTTACTCAACAGGGACGCGCCCTTCTTGAGTTATTGATAAAGGTAGGAACAATTAAATACTTCTTAAATAATTATCAGTTATAATTAAACATACATATTTTGTAATCAGATTTTGCAGAATCTGGTGTATGACTATTTGTTGCCAAGGAAGAGGTCAGGTTTTTGACTAAACAGATGTCTGTGTCCTGACAAGACACTTTTATCTGCATTTGCCGATTTTTTATTTTTTTATTCATTCGGATAAATACATAATTACCGTATATAAAAAACATCACAGAACAAAATATCAGCAACATGTTAAAAAATAAAGGTGACAATACCCAGATGTTAAAAGGATTCCAAACTGGTTACTTGCTACTGCCCTGAATATAGCTTTAATTATAGAACCGAGTGTTCCTAATGATTTAGACCAAATCTGCGCATTAGAAAAATATAAATTATAATTATTTGACACCAGTGTTCTCCCAAAGCACGATTCGCTGGCATCATTTTTCCGAAATATAACCCTCCTGACCGATATAAAAATATGAATACCTTTAAGTTACTAAACGCGATTAATGACTAATGCTTCAAGGTGGAAGGAGGACCTGCTCTTAAACCTCTTTGGTGTTTCCCACGTTGTTTGGTGCGATACGTCACATCAAATTTCTGGGAAGTATTTTTATTGGGAGAACACTGGATGCCAGTGCAATGTGAACACCATTCCTTTTGAATTCTGGGTGGACTCTTTTTTTAAAGTGGACAGAAAGAAGGTTACAAGATGCTGCAAAATGTTAATATAAGTTTTTAATGTTGCTGATATTGTAGGAGGAAGCAAGATCTGTCCCTGATTCTTGGTGAATATGAAGTTAAATATTCAAAATCTATCGGTAATTTTTGCAGGCTGTTAGTGGCGCTGCCCCTAGGTCGCTGGTGGAGCTCATGAGTGACGTCATCTTCTCCTTCAGTAAGCACTTCCACGCTCACTTCGTAAGTGTCATGCCGGATCTGATGATGAGTCACAGTCTGGAGTTGCCGCGTGCGACCAAAGTACAGCGGGAACAATTCGCTAAAAGTCTGTTGAGGTAAGGTTTTGATGTTACACTTGCTCCACATGGTCATGTGCTGGTCACATGACCTGTGGCATATTCCCAGTTGTTCTAAAGCTCTGTCCAGACTATCAAATTTTATTTGACAAAAACATGGTACATGCCTAAATATGGCCATGATGACATCACACCATGACCATATATAGGCACGCCATGACTATATGGGCATACAGTAGTATGATCAAGTCACAAATACTGTGTACTTTTGTGATAATATAAAAAAAAAAAATTTGTTTAAATGGAATGTACATGTCAATGGCGGATCCAGAGATGTCCAAAAGGGTTGGGGTGGGGGGGTGACAACACTATCAATCAGTCTGCACAAAATGTTTGTTTCCTAGACACCTGAAAAATAACCTCAGAGACGTTTTGGGAGATCAATAATTTCTTTTTCTTTCTTTTGTTTTTTTTTTACTTTTCAAAAAGGGCGGGGGAGGAGGGCTGGATCACCCCCTCCTAAATCCGCCCCCTGCTTGTATACGTGTAAAGTATGTGTCTTTTTTGAATACCTACCTAAATATCAACCAATTCTCAAACAACTTGATAAACTATTGTCAAAGTTATGAGTAATTAAAGTATTATGGCTTCTCTGGTACTAAAGTATACAATACTGGCACATTGTTATGCTAATTTTTACTCAGTTTAACATATAGCAACTGTATGCTGGTTTTTATTTATTTATTCTTTTTTTATTCAGAAATACACTTTCAATACAATGTACTGGTTTCCAAAGTGGTTCAGTTAAATCCAAAAATTAACGATACATGTAATTAATAAAAGTAACTTAGCTGAAGTAAAACAACAAATTTCCATTGTACAATTTCAAAGTAAATTAGAACATATAATCAATAAAAATAACTTGCACTAATAAATGTAAAATGTTTTGGGATAGCATACTTCATATGTGTATGTAATTACAGAAAGGAAGTCAAACAAACTCACAGTTTCCATTAAGCCAAACTGTCAATGTGTAATACTGTAGTTGATTCTTCGATGACAGGTCAAAGTACTGGGGTTATGCCCCTATTTGACTTTCAAAACATGTTATAGATAAATAATTATCACAAAACCATATATCATAATCGACAAGTATGTGATACTGTTATTGAAAATGGGGCACGTACCCTTCCCTCTTTGTCATTGATTGCCATGTTTGGTCAATAAAATACTTAACAAACTAAATGCTACCTCACTGTCCTGTATGCGAGATATGAGTTACAATAAAATTTAACCATCACAGAATACAAAATAAAATGTTCATTCTAATTCACAACAGCATAACATATCACATTTATTTTATTGTTATTTCCAAAGAGTATGGAATTTTAAGAGGTTCGACTACCTTGATTTTGTATGCACGCAATGGAGCGTTAAATCAAGTATCGCAATGAGATGGGGGCGCCCTATTAGAGTTGAAATAGTCTTTGCTCGAAACTCATTTTTTGAGGACATACCCCTTCATGGCAATACTTTTTGAAATGAAATTATGTTCCAATGAAACTATATATAATTATTGTATTATATATTATTATGAAACCATTGTAATTATTATTAATTGACTTAGATTGGGGAGTGGATCTGATTTGGGGGAAGGGGTGGTTGCGTTGGGTAAAAAATTGACTCCTGACAGGATTTGAACACAGGACCCTCAGATTAGAAAGCAGGTAAAAAAAGTACAATATAATAATTAAAAATATAAAAATAGTTTATGCATATGCAAAATATAAAATTTAGAGTGCATTATGCAATGTAGAATAAATAATTAATATATAATGTAACCATTATGAAAATGACATGTTATAGAAGCCTTGAAGTTGTTGTAAGCAATATCAGTATTGAAAAAGATTATTTGAGATTATGACTTTCACTTTCTGTTTTGCAGTCGAACAGCTGCTAATGGGAGAAAATACCTTCCAAAATTGGTTGTCGTAAAGATGGATAGGGAGTATTTTT